AGATAAGGAAGCTATCATCAGAAAATAATAAATGAGACACTCTTGCTGCCCCTTACAGACAGCTACACCATGCACCTCCCCTCTATTTTCGGCCCTCCTCAACATAGTACTCAGACCTTCTGCCACCAAAATAAACAGATAGGGGGATGGATAGTGGGTCTCCCTGTCGCAGCCCTCTCTTCGGCATGATTGACCCCAGATAATCTTTATCAAACTGAATATAATAGCTCACGGTAGAAACACAAAGCATTATAATGTCCACTCATCTCTGGCTAAATCCCATACGCATCATAATCTCCTAAAGAAAATTCCAACTGACTCTATCATATGCCTAACTCATATCAAGTTTAAGAGTCACATACCCTTCCTTTCCAAAATTCTTACGTTTCAAATAGTGTTGGGTTTCAAAGGCCACAATTATATTATCAACTATGGATCTTGTTGGGATAAATGCACTTTGATTCTCTCCTACCAGACCCCTTAAAATCCCTTTTAGCCGATTGGCAGTGACCTTTAAAAAATCTTATAAACAAGATTACACAATGCTATCGGTCTCCAATCCCTCATATTTTCACTCTTCTCCTTCTTTGGAATCAAAACTATATTCGTCATACTTAATTCATTAGGTAGAGAACCTGATTCGAAAATACCTGCACACAGGTATGTCACATCCGGTCCCACAATGTCCCAAAACTTCTGAAAAAAAGTTGGATTCGTACCATCTGACCCTGGAGCCTTCTCCGGATGCATATAAAAAATTACGGCATTGACCTCCTCTGGATTAATTTTCCTAAGAAAGCATGTGTTCTAAGTATCCGTAACATGTGCAAAGCTGCCTATGTCACAACGGTGGTGCTCCTCGGCCCCTCCGTGAAATAAATTCTCAAAATAGTCCCTCACCATATCCTCCATTTTCCCCTATCAATGATGTAGGTGTCATCAGTCGCACGCAGTCCGAAAAACTTATTCCTTCTTCACCTTTGCTTAACTGCATTGTGAAAAAACTGAGAATTTATGTCACCATCTCTCAGCCAGAATTCCTTTGCCCTCTGCGCAAGTATAAATTTTCTTTCTCCATCAACATTTGAATAACTAATTTGACTCTAAGGAATTCCGCCATGCTCCCCGCATCATCTCTCCCTCTCAGCCAAGCTAATCTTTTCTTGCATGCCAGAATTTGGTGTCTGAAGCCCTTCGGTCTACGTTCATCCCACCTTAGCAATTCTTTCCCACAAAAAATAATTCTTTCACTTACTGACATATGCTGGCTTGCACTCCAGTTACTTGCCACCACCGCGCGAGACTCTTCCTCCTTTAACCACATATTCTCAAACGTGAACCTTCTCGGTTTTCTTCCATGTATATAGTTGGACATAATTTGACCCACAATGTTATATGATCACTAAGTGGAGCCTCAATGGAAGAAGCTTGAGCTGCCATGAAATTATTCCACCAATCATCATTTTCTAAAGTCCGATCAAGTTTTTCCTCCACCCAGTATGCAGTTCCCTTACCTCTATCCCAAGTCCACTGGTATCCCTCAAAGGGAAAATCTCACAGACCACTCCAGATCACTGCATCTCTAAATCCTCTCGTTCTCCATGTAGGGTGAGGGATCCTACCCCCCCCTTTTTTTTCCCGAATCGTATAAGATATCATTAAAATCACCAATAACTATCCATGTCAATGAGTCATCCTCCGCCAGTCCTCGAAGCATATCCCACGCTTCCCTTCGGAGATGAGTTTCCGGGAAGGCGTAGTAACAGGTGAGCCACCAAGCCGGTTCTCCTTCCACCATTTTAACCAAACACTCAACATAATTTTGTTAAACCTCCTTGATTGTCACCTCCACGGCTCCACATCGTCGTTCCAACCTATGGCAAGACCCCCGTTGCTGCCTTCGCTGTCCGTCCCTGCGAAATGTTGGTAGCCCTGTGTTCGTAGCAGATCCTTCACACGTTGACACCAAATTTTCATTTCCATGAGGAAGATAATCGACGGCCGATATCCTTGAACAGTATCTGCCCCGCCATGCACGGTAGCCAAGTTTTCTAACCCTCTACAGTTCCAACTAATAATACTCATGCTGAGAAAAGATTGGACACCGTGATCACGGAGATCACCGTCGGAGAAGAAACTAGCCTTAACCTAGAGACGGCCGTTGTTTTACCCCAACCTTCCCGGGTCACGTAATTTTTAAGTAGGATGATTTTAGATAGTTAATACGGAGTATAATTTATACAAATAAATAATAAAAAATTGTAAGAATAAAAAATCAAAACTTTTAATTAAAAGTAAAAATATAAATATAAAAAAGTAAAAAAGGTGTAGATAAATAAAAAACATAAAAAAGTGTCAAATAAGAAAATCCTGTTGACTTATGTAATATAACAATCATGGTTCTAAAAATTGGCCTAGGCGGCGCCTAGTCGCTAGGCGGTGGCCGGGCGCCCCTTTTTCGTTGTAATCGATGGAACAATCAGTTGGGCGCCTAAGCAGGCGAGGCGGTCCAGGTTAAATTTTTCCCCAACTCATTGGATCAATAAGTATTGTCTTAAAACATCATTGGATCAATAAGTATTACTCCGTAGATTCCTATATAAGAGTTTGTGTAGCTTTAAGTATTTCTTACTATTATGTCAGAGACACGTACTTGACTTTGAATTTCTTACTTTGAGTCCTTCAACTATTGTGCGAAAGACACTTTTGATACTCGTCTTTGAAAATTTCTATATTTAGTCATTCGAGATTCATAAAAGTGACAATTTTGATTCTTCAACTATTACAATACTTACTTTTTTAGTTCTCCACTTGTAGTGTCAAAGTCAGTGGAAGAACAACTAAAACCGTCAATTTGAAAATACTTAGGGGACTGAATGTGAAAAACTTTAATTACGACATATAATGATTATATGAGCAACTATTTCTATTGTCAAAATAGTATAAAGTTATAACTAATATATTTTAAATTCAAAGGATATAAAAATAAAATAGAGAAATATAGTGGGAATACCTAGGTGCCCAATCAACACTCGACTAGTGTCCTACGCATTTTAGAACACTGATAACAATTGATCATAAAGAAATCATAATCTTTATTCAAATTTTGGTTTTCAGATTAATAAAAATAAATTTGGATGGCTAGGTTCATTTAATAAAAATAAATTTGGGTGATGGCGGTTCGGATTTAAAAGTTATTGAACTTTTGAATTTATATAAACCTTTTTAAAAGTTAATGAATAAACACAATACACCCCTTCAAATTATTTCTCTATTACACCCAGGGCCGGTCCTGTCGATTTTTGGGCCTATGGGCGAGATATTATTTGGGCCTATGTTCAAGACAAAAACTAATCTCTAAAAATCGATCAACGAAACAGGACCCACCAAAAGTTATTCTCTTCACTTAAATCTCAATTATCTGGCTCAATTTCACTATTTGCGGCTTTTGCACCTATATCACTATTTCCAAGCATGTTATGGTTTTCACTCACAAAAGAATTTAGCGGCGATTCAACTTGAGAAGAATTTCCAGGATTCAATATCTTAATAAAAAAAAAAATTCCATTGCCCCCGTCTTACTTAAGGCTGCCTTTTCTAATCTTTGTCTCTTTTTCTCTTTTTTCCCAACCAGATTCACCCATTTTATCAAACACCTTCACAATAGTAAAACGAAATAAAGGAATTCAATTCAAAATTGCACAATACCAAACAAATATGAATTTACCAAGACACCAAAAATGCATCATATAGAAATCATTAATCATAATTCATAAATCAAAAGAACATTTAGTGGATTTATTATTCATAGCTAATATAGATTGGGAATAATTTACTGGCCGTTGTCAGATTGTTTGAAGCCTTGACAGAAGAAGGTGTTCTAATCGTCGGCCGCTTTGGCTAATGGTGATTTGCAGGCTTGCGGCGCTCTCTAATGTCTACTCTTGTGCAAGACGACCAAGACCTTATTAAACCTTAGTCCTTTAGGTCATTAGATAATTGAGTTTGATTGGAACTTGAAAGCCACCGTCCGGGAAATTAATTAGGTTAGTGGGATGGGGTGGTTTATGAATCGGGAGTTTGGGAGACACACGGGCTGTACAAAAAGTTAGAGCCAATAAATATTTTGGTAATTTTGTAATTAAAAGAATTATAAAGCTTAGAGATGTGAAGAGACTTAACTACTCAAAGAGGCATGCCACATGCCTTTTAACTTGAGCTTAAATTAAAAAAGAAGCCTACTCACACTATATATAAAGACAAATTTTTGGGCCTATTTTTCCCCTCTATTTTTCCGGGCCTAAGGCGGTCGCCTCTGTTGCACCCCCTAGGACCGGCCCTGATTACACCAGTGGTATTTTTATGAAATTTTCGATCTTTAAAATTTTCAAAATCACTATTTTAAATACTACCAAATTTTAGTAATAATAATTTTGTATAGAACTTGTAAAATAAATCACATTTCGAAGTAAAAGGAAATAAGAGTTGAGAAAGAAGTTAACGGGAGAAGATAAAGGTCAAAGGAGGGTGATCCGAATATTGTTAATTTATATGCACGTGCGGAAGATGGAGGGAGAGAATGCGGAGCGTATCCAAAGTTAGTTATTTGATATTTAACCGATTTTTGAATGGAGGACCCACGAAATAAGCAGCCGCTAGCCGCTGCCTTTGAAATTGTCGGGCGGAGTATAAGATAAGCAGGAAGAGGCGGAGGACAAAATGTTATGCTACTAAAAACGGAAAGCGGCGGTAGCTTAGCGTGGAGGCAGTAAATGGACAATTATAACCCCACCCACCAGCCACCTATCCTACGACGCTATTAATGAATCATAGTGCTCGGTCAGTCGGTGTTCGATCCATTTCTCCAAAATCCAAATGGATGTGTGGTACTTATAAAATTTATAAAACAGAATCATCATCAATTGATTCATTAACCTAGCTAGCTAGCTAATAACGGTCCTATGATGTACCGGGAGAAGAGGTAACCCCTGCCGGCATCATAATTTTTGAGGCAGTCAGCACTGTTTGCTTTTGTTTCTCCTATCCTATCCTACTTTCCCCCTCTCTTCCTTCCTTCTACCAGTTTCTCCTCTGCCAGATCTCCGGCCGGCCGCCCATCACTCCTTGAGTTTCTTTCTCTCTTTATCTCACCACCTTCCAATTCAACACTCATCTAAACCATTCTATATATATTTTACCATTTCAACACACCTCGCCTTTCTCTTTCACAGATCTGCCTCTCTACAAACAGGTTTTCAGAAATGAAATAAATTCTGCTTTTTTCTTTTTTAAACTCACCCGCTCCGGGATCTTATACACTTTCCTGCGCAGGTTTTAGCTGAATGTCACACCATTCCCCATTTTTAAATCCATTTCTCAAACAACCTGAGCACAATTATAGTCTGGGTGGGGGCAGCATGGATTCCGGAATAGGAAGTTGGATTCCGGATTTGAAGACAGACAGTGCAGCAGCTGCTTCTTGGGTTCCACCTACACCCTCAAAGCCCAGTTTCACACCCATCTGCAAATCTGGTAATGAAAACACCCATCAGCTTTCACTGGATTTTTGCTTGACCCCAGCACAAGTTCAAGGGCGGGGATTCCAGAAATTATTTTATACTCAAAATGAAGCAAAAATGTCATATGGGAATCTCTTAGCACTTGCTGAAAGTGCAAATAAACACAAAGCATTCACTTCCCTCTTTACTTCCCACAACACAGGTATCATTTTCTGGAAATTTGTATTTCTTTCTGTAATTTTAAGCATTTTTTTTGTTTTCAACCTACATGACTACATCTTCCTAATGATTAAAGGTTGAGCTAATGCAAGATGCTATTGTAATGCTACATTTTTCTTCCAGCTTTATTATTATTATTATTATTACTACTACTACCATTATTGTTATATATACTCCTCAAATTAATGATAGTGCGTACGAGCTAGCAGGTGGAAGTGCGAGTTGCTCCAGACCCACTCTCAATTTGAATTTTCCACCTGTGGGAGATGTTGACTCGAGCAGCAGCATCACCTCATTCCAGCAGTTACCCCCCATCAGCCCCCCAGGGGTTCAGAACAGGGGAATAGCGCTAAATTTAAACATGAATGAGATGCAAGTGCCAAGGCGCATAGAGGAGGGGAATGATACGCTCCAAGAAAAAGTAGAGCTGTCAGTAGAGGAGGTGAAGGAAGTAGCAGTAGACTTGGCGGAGAATCAAAAGCCTGACAAAGGTGGGGAAGTAGGCACAGAAGTGTATGGCAAGACACCCCAGCAGAAACCAAGAAGGAAGAAGCACAGGCCGAAAGTGGTTGTCGAAGGCAAAGGTAGGAGGGGATGTACGCCTAGAACCCCAAGCAACACTCCAGGCACAGAGGAGGAGGGTAAGACTAAAAGGAGGAGAAGGACTAACATGCAGAGAAAAGTAGTAGACAAACCTGCTACTGCAGCCACCACTCCCTCAGACGAGAGTCCAAACGTAATAAACCATCCGCCCGCCTCCGCCACTCCTAATGAATCATCGAAAGTGGGGAGAAAGCGCTGTAAAAGAAATCAAGGGCCTGCAGCCACCACCCCTACATGTGAGGGTTCAATTGTAATAGATCTTGACACTGATTCCGACGAGAGCCTGCAAGTGGGGAGAAGGCATCCTGCTGGGCCAGCAGCAGCAGTAACAGCAGCGAAAGAGGCTTCAAATATAACAACATATCTTGAAAATATGCCCACCAGATCCAATCAAGCGGAAAGTAAGTATGGTAGGAAAATTCAAGGTAGCAAGTCCAAGAAATGTTACAACATGGGAGAGGAGGGGTGCAGGGAAACTACTACTTCTCGACCAGAAGCAGTTTCTCTCCCCAAAAGGATGAACACCTGCAAGCGATCGATATATTTTCCCCACTATGATGTAAATGGGGATTTCCCAGACCCATCTCCATACCCTGCAGGAAAATCCCCGGAAACTACTACTTCTCGACCAGAAGCAGTTTCTCTCCCCAAAAGGATGAACACCTGCAAGCGATCAATATATTTTCCCCACTATGATGTAAATGGGGATTTCCCAGACCCATCTCCATACCCTGCAGGAAAATCCCCGGAAACTACTACTTCTCGACCAGAAGCAGTTTCTCGCCCCAAAAGGATGAACACCTGCAAGCGATCAATATATTTTCCCCACTATGATGTAAATGGGGATTTCCCAGACCCATCTCCATACCCTGCAGGAAAATCCCCAGAAACTACTACTTCTCGATCACAAGCAGTTTCTCGCCGCAAAAGGACCTGCAAGAGATCAATATTTTTTCCCCACAATGACGCAAATGAGGGTTTCCCAAACCCATCTCCAAACCCTGCAGGAAAGTTCCATGTGCTGCATCAACTGTTTCAACAAGAACTAAAAGATGATGCTCGACTGACTGAAGTGGACATTGCTTATGAAGACAAAAATGAAATGAACAGTCAGATCAGGAAATCCATTTTACAGCCAGGAATACAAGTTCCTCTTGATCCTTCAACTCCGAGCAAGTTGGATGCATCGTGCAACAACTTGATGATGGCTAGACATCAAGTGAGAGGAAAGTGTAAAATCGTTTTTTCAGATGACGAAGATAAAAGTATGTATGTTGTTGGACCACAATGTGTGAAGGGTAGCCAAAACCACTCCTCCAACTTTCGCAGCCACAATGTATTCTTGACAGAGAGAGCAACAGTAAGTGACTCGAAGATGTTGCAGCACTCAAGCTTTGCTGAAGAAGAACAGTACAATACAAACGTTGCTGGACTTCATTGGAATTCTTTGCAGGCATACAAACAATTTCTTTCACTCAATCGAGACATGATGGACAGAATCAGTGGGATGCATTTTCCTACAATTCATAAGAAAAAAAGGACTGAGAAGGGGCACGTTCCTGCATCACCTTGTGCTAAAAGTATGGAAACTGAAGCTCACCACATGACCCATGCATGTCAATTTGAGGAAGGTGCTTCCTTGGCTAAAAAAGCTGCAAGCGGATCTCCGCCTCCCAAGCACCTTCCCACATTGAACATTGACAATTTGAAAAGGAAAAGATCAAAAGGTCTCGCTCGGGTGCGTGATGCGGCATCCTTGGATGAGGTTTACAATCCCTTCTCAACTTCTTCATCTAGAGAAGCAGCAGCAAAACAGAAACAACAACAAATGACGATGTTCAACGATTCATGCATGATTATGGGAACTCATGTTGCTGATGATTGCACAACCATGGTCACAAAAAAGCATGCAAAAAGAAACAGTCTCAATGGTATGCATGCTCAACATCAATTTTTATTAGGCGTTTTAATTTAACATACTAGAGAAATAATTAAACTAACCATAATCGTGTCTTGCTCACCTTTTCATGTGACATCTGATTCAGGACATCTGCTTGCTCTCACATGGAAAGACATTTCTCCAATTGACGAAATTGCACAACGGCTAAGATGTCTTAACATAAATAATGATCATCAAGGTCGGTACACTCTCGGTACTGGTAATGCCAAGTACCAAAGGGAAACTTCCCTCGTTCTTTATCCAAGAGATGGAACCATTGCCCCTTTTGTAGAGGTTAAAAAGAGGAGACCTAGGCCAAAAGTTGATCTTGATGATGAGACAACTAGAGTGTGGAAACTCTTGCTGCAAGATATAAACAGCCAAGGCATAGACGGAACGGATGAAGAGAAGGCTAAGTGGTGGGAAGAAGAGCGGAAAGTGTTCCGTGGAAGAGCAGATTCCTTTATCGCCCGCATGCGTCTTGTCCAAGGTAAACCATTGAAGTTTCAACATCCATAGTGTCCATTTAATTTAAAATTCTATGTAGACAAAGTTAATGGTTTTGACCCTCCCTCTTTTACTTTCTGGAACAGGAGACAGGCGCTTCTCGCCATGGAAGGGGTCTGTCGTAGATTCTGTGGTTGGGGTTTTTCTAACTCAAAATGTTTCGGATCACCTCTCCAGGTCAGCCAACTTCTGAATTGTAACTTTTATGTTTACTTTATAAACCTAGACATAGCCAACCAAAGTTGCAGCATGAATTTGCCCTTGTTGCAGTTCTGCTTTCATGTCACTTGCTGCAAGGTTCCCACTGAAATCTAATACCAGAGCAGAATTTCATGGAGAGAGACCAAATTTGATTGTCGAAGAACCAGTTTGTGTGATGGAACCTGATGAAAAAATTACATGGCATGAAGGTCCCTCTAATAAACCAACTCCTGGTCAAGATTCAATGGCTCTCAGGGACATCGATGGGAATGAAGAAGTTATCAACAGTGAGTTGACTGAAGATACCTTGGATTTTGTTATGTCCACAGAAAATTCTACAGCCAAACATTTCAGTTCTTCTGAGAAATATCGAGATGTTTATCATGGATTGACATTAGATAGGCCGGCAAGTTGGATCAACAAGGAAGAGGCAAGTTCCCACATCAGCCAAACAGAAACAGACATTGTGTTGTCCTCTCAGAATTCTGGAGTTTTCTCACAGAACTTTGTGGACTCTTCGCATGGTCAAACTGCTGACAGAAAAGAATTCACCACTCTTTGCAGCACTACATCTTTCGTCCAACTATTAGAGATGGCAGGAACTTCCATGCTACATGGGGTGTACCATCAGGAAAACAGCTTAGTTAATATGGACATGCTAAACCAAGGAAAGGATTATTCTATGGAGTTGCAGAAGAACAGGGAAGATGACAGGGGCTCTTTGGACACCATTGCTTCTTGCAGTACTGATGGCAAACTTCCTGGAGAACACTATGCCCCTGAACAAAGTGATTTGTCAACAAAGTCACTGAACCAAGCAACAAATCAGGAGATCCAACTCCTACCTGGTCAAACTGACAAGCCTTGCAGTAGTAATCAAATTGAGATGAATTTGAGAATAGAAAACAATCCAACGACAGGTTTTGATTTGCAGATTCATACTGAAGACATTAACTATGACGTGCCACTAGATCACAAGTGCCCTACCTCATTGGAGATTCAGGATATCACAGAGAGAGCTGGCACTAGCATTGTTCGTTCCCAATCGATTTCAGATGGCCAGAATAACACAAATCTTGATACTGTTGATAGAACGACCAGCAAGACCTCTAGAGCGAAAGGGGGAAGGCCTCGGAGAGAGAAAGAGGAATTAGTGAATTGGGACATATTAAGGGAAGAGGCTCAGGCAAGTGGAAAGAAAAGAGAGAAAACAATGAACACATCGGACTCATTGGACTGGGAAGCGGTAAGATGTGCTAATGTCCATGAGATTGCAGAAACCATCAAAGAGAGAGGAATGAACAACATGCTCGCAGAGAGAATACAGGTGCATTCAATAAATATATGGCTCTAATAATATTTCCTCTAATGCAAGCTCCGATTAGTCTCCTTCACGTTCTCAATATGGCATTGTGGTGAAAACAAAAATTGAGAAGGAATAATAAAATGAGAAGTATTGCAGGAGTTCCTAAATAGGCTTGTTAAAGAACACGGTAGCACTGATTTAGAATGGCTAAGAGATGTTCCACCAGACAAAGCAAAGTAAGTGCATAACTTTCTAACATTACTGATCAGCTCCATATAACATTGTTATTATGACCTTAAAAGTGTTATTTAATGTCAACTGTTTCAGAGAGTATCTATTGAGCTTCAGGGGGTTGGGTTTGAAAAGTGTGGAGTGTGTCAGGCTTTTGACGCTCCACCATCTAGCTTTCCCAGTAAGATTTAGCTTCAATTACACAATGCAAATCATTGCAAGTAAAAAAAACATGTACCTGACTTCTGTGTTCTAATAAGGTTGACACCAATGTTGGACGGATAGCTGTAAGACTTGGGTGGGTCCCTCTGCAGCCATTGCCTGAGTCACTACAATTGCACCTTCTAGAGCTGTAAGCGAAGTGCTTAAACTGCTGTAAAACTTCTCACATCTGTTGTGCAATGGTAGACTGATACAGATATACTTATGTAGGTACCCGATCTTGGAATCCATCCAAAAGTATCTTTGGCCACGACTCTGCAAGCTTGACCAAGGAACACTGTAAGTGTAACTTCCTATGGGAGGTGATGAGAAAATTGGTTTTGTTCTTGAATGCCACAATGTCAAGAGCTGATATAATATTTTATGTAATTGCAGATACGAGCTGCATTACCATATGATAACATTTGGGAAGGTCTGTTACTGCCATTGTTTGTCTCATAATGCCAACTAGTTATCTTATTTCTGTTAAAAGCTAACATCGGTATACTACAACTTCAATAGGTGTTTTGTACAAAGAGCAAACCAAATTGTAATGCATGTCCAATGAGAGGAGAATGCAGACATTTTGCAAGTGCATTTGCCAGGTCTGTCTTTTATCATTCTGGTATGAGTACATCAAAATCTTCTATCTGTTACTACTTTTCATTCTAGTTGTAATGTTTGGGTATGTTCACTAGAACAGTGGCAACTCTATTATGTTACAATTGGAGTTAACAATCCCCACTGGGTTTTTTCAGTACTATATAAATTTTATATATTTTGTTTGTTTAAAAAAGAGAGTTTAATGTTGCTTATAATATCTGATTCAAAAAGGAGATGAGCACAAAGAACTTGAATGTAATATGGATTAAAATTCTGCAGTCACAACTACACCGGAATTGATAGGAACCTGGCAATACTCTGGCAATAAACAGTAAACAGAAACGTAGATCTGATAGAGATGATATGGAAGGGATGTGTATTGACGTAATAGGTAAACCGTAGGCTACAAGGATAATCCGGACTCAGGCAACAAGGCAGCAGGCAACACTTAGAATCAAAATAACAGTCTACCCATTATTAGCTACCCAACTTACTATTTATAGTAGTAGGTCCACACAGGGACTAAAATAGATAAACAGATTCATTAAATGACCCCAGCCCACTTAATTGACCTCAGCCCATTTTATTTCTCCTTTCAAATACCCTATTAAAATACTAAATAAGCAGATTCCTAACATTACTCCCTCCCTAATTAACCACCTTGCCCTCAAGGTGGGTAATAAGACACAGCCTTGATCTTGAACTTCTTCTTCATCCTGGAACCTCTTCCTTCCCAGTACCTCCTTGGTTTCTTATCTAGGAGCTTCATTTCTTTCCCTTTCATTATCACCTCTTTCACAGCAAACAGGAGCATAAACTGGGTATAAAAATTCTCTGGAATTACACTTGAAACCTCTTCCTTGTAACCCATCTCTTCATATAAAGGTTCTAAGGCAGACATGCTATGAGTTGCAGCTCTAAATGGATCAAAGAACAAGCTAGTTTGAACCCTTACCAGAACACACATACCAACTTCAACTGGTTGAACAATTCTCCTCTTCCCAGTAATTCCTTCTTGTAATATTTCTTTGATAATCCCCTTTATATCCTCTTTTTGGCCGTGCGGGTATCTATAAAACTTCAGGTTAGGTACTTCTGCTCCCTCTTCAATGTTAATAGCTTGGTCACACTTTCTAGGAGGAGGTAATCCTGGTCTGGGAGTAAATACCTCAGAAAATTCTGCCATAATTCCTTCCCAATTGGAATCTTTCAGCTGATTTTCCTCTCCCTCCATTTTTCTGCCTTCCCAGTAGATAAGATAGCCATCACCAGCCTCCTGTACAATTTGTGACATGGTCCTCAGAGATACTTTCATAGATTTTGACTTAGAGTCTCCATGAATAGCCTGACTTAACCCCAGCTGATGCCATTTTATGCTCTGCTTCTGAAAATTGATCTCCACACCCCCCAATCCAGTCAACCAATCCATGCCAAGAACTAAGTTCGTTCCCTCTAACTCCAGCATGTAGAAATCTTGTTGAATGACAGCTCCCTGCATGTTCAGAATTATTTGTTCACACCTGCCCTTGTTGGAGATCTCATCACCATTCCCAAGCTGGACCTTGTAGCCAGCAATGGTCTGATAAGGGAGGGTTAACTGCTCTACCACTTTCTGAGATATGAAGTTGTGTGAGGCTCCACTATCAATTAGAACATCTACTAGTTTCTCTCCCTTAGCCCATTTCAGAGTCCCCTGCACCCTAAAAGCCCTCTTAGGGGGTAGTCCCTCCTGGTTCATGAAGGTTAACTGCATGGACTTGGATTCCATGGTGATCTTTTCTTCTTCAGGGATTACCCCTTCTGAGTTACCCAATTCCTCCTCTCCCTCTGAATCTTCCACCAACATTAGTTTGTAATTCTTCATTTTACATGACTGTTCTCTACTCCAATTTTCACCACATTTGAAGCAAAGCCCCTTCCGGCTTCTATCTTGGTATTCTTCTTGTGTCAGCTGAGGCCCTACTCTTCTTATGCCTGAGGAATTTATTTCTGTTCCCTTCTTCCCATCAGGAGTAAACCAAGGTGGGCTTCCCCTGTTGTCTGGTGCATTTCTGCCACCAGTTGGTGGCCTTGGACTCCCAGGCTTGAAGTTATAGCCTGCACCCCCAGCTGGTTGTCTGTAGTGAAGGTGCCCCTTATCTTTCCCCTCAGTTCTCTCTACCATTTTTCCCTTGCCATTGACAGCATCATTCCTTTGCTCAATCAGAACGGCCCTGTCCATGACAGCAGCCAGAGATTTGGAATGGTGAAGTTTCAGCTCAGCTTTAATTTCCGCTTTGAGGCCATTGATAAAAATGCCACGTAGCATACCCCTGTCAATGTTTTTCTGTGGGGCTATTACCATCTCAAATTCCTCCCGGTAGTCTTGTACAGTCCCCGTTTGTTTCAGGCTCAACATGGGTCCAAAAGGATTTTGTAACAAGTCAGGCTGGAACCTGCAGATAACAGCATCCTTCAGGTTTTCCCAGGTTATTTCCTCCGCCTGATGCTCCCACCACTGGTACCAATTCAAGGCTCTATCCTCCATAGCCACCATCGAAACCTCCACCTTGTCTTCCTCTTCAGTTTTATTCAATCTAAAATAGCGTTCCATCCTCACTATCCAGTTGTAGGCACCCTCCCCATTAAACAAAGGTAGATCCACCTTCCTACCCGTGTGAACACGACGATGGAAAACTGGGGAGTGTACAGAGTTACCTCTCGATTTCGACGAGCTGCTTGGTGATCGCGAACGGTGGCGGTTCTTTGATCGCGACCTTCCCCTGGGCTGATCGTCCTGCTTATACGCTGCCATCGAGGCCGCGACACTCGTCTGGATCTGTTCGTTCATTGTCGCGACCAGGGTGGCGATAGTGGCCCTCATCTCCTGCTGGAACGCCTCCATCTGTTGCTCCATATTAGATCTCGTTTTTACCATCTACCGTTGAAACGAGAGTTCTACAGTAATCGCACTTCACTTGCGATCCCCAGGAGCGATTTCTCTGATACCAATGATAGGAACCTGGCAATAAACAGTAAACAGAAACGTAGATCTGATAGAGATGATATGGAAGGGATGTGTATTGACGTAATAGGTAAACCGTAGGCTACAAGGATAATCCGGACTCAGGCAACAAGGCAGCAGGCAACACTTAGAATCAAAATAACAGTCTACCCATTATTAGCTACCCAACTTACTATTTATAGTAGTAGGTCCACACAGGGACTAAAATAGATAAACAGATTCATTAAATGACCCCAGTCCACTTAATTGACCTCAGCCCATTTTATTTCTCCTTTCAAATACCCTATTAAAATACTAAATAGGCAGATTCCTAACAGGAATCTGCAAAATTTTCACTCGTTGGTATTAGACACACACAGAGTCGCATGCATACTCATGTTAGACTTAATAATAAATAACATGGTTTAAATGAATGAGTCACGGGTCAAGTGTGAAATATTATACATTTTCATGAAGTGACCTAATGATTATGGTCGTTGTAGTGCAAGGCTCGCACTTCCTGCTGCACCAGAGGAAAAAAGAATCGTGAACGCAATTGAAAGCAAACCCACTCAACAAACCCCAAGAGACAATATCAGTCTGCTGCAGCTGTCCTTACCTGAGAGCTGCAGCAATCCAGAAGCAGTAACACATTATGGTGGCAGCAACTCCCAACCTATTATTGAAGAGCCAGCAACACCAGAGCCCATAGTTGAAGTTCCTGCCACACCAGTGCAAGAGCAAACACCCGACATTGAGGATGCATACAATGATGATTCTAATGAAATTCCAACGATTAATCTAAATCTGATTCAGTTCGCTCAAAACGTAAAGATGTTCGTGCAAAACAGCATGGAGCTTAATCATGTTGAAATGTCAAATGCTTTGGTTGCATTAACACCTGAAGCTGCTTCCATTCCGATGCCTAAACTCAAAAATATTAGCCGGCTCAGAACCGAACATCATGTGTAAGTATATATGCACTATATTCTCCCCCACTGAGCTGTTTGTTAACAACTGTCTGTGCGAGCATGTTTTCCTCTCAGGCACAACAATATGAATAATTAATGCCTTCACTTTTTTTCTATTTTCCAGCTATGAGCTTCCAGATCATCATCCTCTTCTAGATGGGGTCAGTGAGTCGAATTTGCTTAATATGTGACTTGTAATAAGTGCACACATGAGGACTATCTTCAGAACTTGTACTTACTTTCTTCTTATTTGCAGTTAGAAAAAAGAGATCCAGATGATCCCTGCTCTTACCTTTTGGCCATATGGACACCTGGTAATAGAAAAGCATGCAGTGTCTGGCTCGCAGCATTACTTTCCTCTTAAATAACATCATCACTTCAAGAAGATTCATAAACACTATAAATAAATGTTTCCTCTCTTTTTTATTTCATATATCAGGTGAAACTGCAAGCTCTATTAAGCCCCCAGAAAGGCTATGTAATTCCCAAGAACTTGGCAAGCTATGTCATGAGGAAACCTGCTTTGCATGCAATAGCTTTCGAGAAGCAGAATCTCAAACTGTGCGTGGGACAATTCTGGTAAGGACGACCATACAAGTACTAACCTAATATAAAAGTTCAATGGCCAAAAGGCAAGAGTATATATCATTCTCCTCCATTCAACCAAATATTCTAATAATGATAAGATGGTGGTGTTAGCAGATACCCTGCCGAACAGCAATGAGAGGAAGCTTTCCCTTAAATGGCACATACTTTCAGGTCAATGAGGTAGTGTCATCAATCATTATGTCTGAGCTCATTTAAGCAACCATACAATACCAATGCCAGATCAAAGTATCAATTTCCTGCAAATGGTTTTCTCAGATGTATAAAATTAAATTAAAAACGAACAGGTGTTCGCTGATCATGAATCCAGCCTAAACCCAATTGATGTTCCAAGAGATTGGTTGTGGGATTTACACCGCAAAACTGTGTTCTTTGGAACCTCAATACCAACAATATTCAAAGGTAAAAAAAGACTGACAAATTAAAGTGATCCGCTGCATTACTAGAGTAGTTTTTATATTGTCTGATACGTTCCTGACTGTTTATATAGGCCTGTCGACTGAAGATATCCAACATTGCTTCTGGAGAGGTATGTGAATAAGATGTTACAAAAGTAAAAAGTTTGTATGTGTCCGTAGAACTGAAAAACATATGGTTGAGAGCTCTCCATAAATAAGAGTGAAAATGTACAAGTCATAAAGTATCTCAGGCACAGGTCATAAACTACTTTTTAAAATAAGGGAAAATGTTTTCTGTCACTACTATTTTTTAATCAAAGAATCGAGGGAAAACTGTCAAATTGACCCTCCAAGTATATCAGTAAAGTCAATTAGACCCTCCAACTAAAGAAACACCCAATTAGGTCCGTGAACTATGCAAAAACAATCAAATTTGTAATCCAACAGGTTAACACCCGGTTAATTGGTGACTCCACTTATGTGGCAGTCCATATGTCAAATTTTAATTTTGGCCTCTTACTTTTTCCTTTCTTTCCCTTCCCCTCTCTTTCCCCCTTTTCTTTCTTCTGTCCCATCTCCGTCTTTCTCCCTCCCATATGCACCAGACCTTCTTCTCCCCTCTATTCTTCCCACTGCACCATACCTTCTCCCCCCTTCTTTTTTCTTCCGCCTCATTCTGTCCGCCATTTCGTTCATCTTATACCAATTAAACAATGCCCCTGTGATAAAGGGATTGGAAAACGAAAGATGGAGAGGATGTCACTTTTGAGCTTTATTGGCGACACCGGCAGGTAAGGAGGCCTCCAGCGGCCTAAAGAAGAAGAACAAAGAAGGAGCTCTTCATAATAGGGCGGGATGAGGAAGAAGGGAGGGGAAGGGGTGGGGTGAAGCAGAAGAAGAGAAAAGAGAAAGGGAAGGGACGGTCCGAAGAAGGAGGGAGGAGAGAGGTGGGGAGGAGTTCGGTGGGTTGGGCTGGAGAAGAGGAAAGACCGGGGAGGGTGTGTTTGGCTGAAGAAGAAGAAAGAAGGGGTGGGGGAGCTGAAAAAGATGAAGAAAGAATGCAGGGGAGTCCAGTGAAGAAGAAAGAAGCACAGAAAAAAGAAAGTAAAAAAGAAATGGAAAGAAGAATTAAAAAAGAACAAGGAAAATTATTAAACATGTGCTAGCTGGACTGCCACGTCAGGTGTATCACCCGGTTAACCGGGAATCAACAGGCTAGATTACAAATTTGATCGTTTTTACGTAGTTCACGGACCTAATTGGGTTTTTCTTTAGTTGGAGGGTATAATTGACTTTTCTGATATACTTCGAGAGCCCATTTGACAGTTTTCACAAAAATCTACTAGCAGAAATAGATGAGTGTGACTCCAATATACGGAATTGGAAAAGGAGTTCACGTTTTTCATAAATTTTTTCTTTCATTACTTGCAATTGGAAAATTAGATGCTGAACCGTATTCTCATAATCAAACAATAGTAGGGGTATGGAATTATTAATAACTGTAGGAGTAACAAGAATCTGGGAAAAAGAAAAAAAATTGTCCCCTTATTTCTACATCCTCCTGTGCTTTTTTGGTTCTAACGATTTATTTATAGTTGCAACCATTTCTTTTCATACAGTCTCTAGTTTATTCATATCCATTTTCCACGTCAAGTTGCAACCATTTCTTTTCAGGGTATGTTTGTGTACGAGGGTTTGAACGGAAGACACGGGCTCCTCGACCACTAATGGCACGATTGCACTTTCCAGCCAGTAAAATGAAAACGAAGGCGAGTACGGATGAAACCAAGGCATAACCCTGCTGCTGCTGCTGGCATAGACACTTCATAGCAGCAGCTCATTACAGATGATGATGGTAGCGCCTCATTTCATGACATTATGATAATTATGCTGCTGCTTGTCAGAAATAGCTAGGCATTTAGTTGTAAATATATTCTAAAAATTCCGAGTATTGAAGTAATCATTTGTTCCTCAAAACTATTATGTTCACTTTATTATTATTAGACAGAAGAAGAGTAGTACTAATGTATCGGCCAAATAAGGAGTGTTGTCGCATATCGGTTAGCACTTAGCAAAGGGGTTGTTGACCTTTTTTTATTCCTTAATCATGTCGGTAAAGTATTTCTCTTTATACTCGTACTAGTTTTTTGACGCGCGTTGCGCGTGAGGGACAGTGCCCAATACCATTCACAATACAAGTGTGAATTTAAGAAGAACATCCACTCTTTCAAACGATATGATATGCATATTAGAATGACAATGATTATGTTTCTAAGAAGTGAAGTTTGATTATAACTTGTGTGATAAGGAGAGTGGATGTAAGGATTGGGCGCTCTTTTAAAATGGTAGTTATTATCTTCTATTAAACACATGGTACAAGTAGAATTGGACGCTCTTTTTAGGGTGATGTATGGATATTCACGTATACATTAATCCCTTATGATCAGCAACGCCGTGAAATTGAAATTATTCTTTTATAAACATCTCCACAATAACTACCAAATCTGATTTAGGTCTAGTTTGCTTGAAGTGAGAAGCACAGAACCAAATCGACCTTCACCCAACATACTATTATGTTAGACATTTCTTGTAGTTGTTAGAAGTTCATTTAAGTGTTGATGACCACAAATATAATTGTCATTCCTCTGTATCATTTCTATATTGCTGTTCTTGTGATTACTATAAAACCAACTTATATATTGGAGTAGGAGTCATACTCCGTATATAAAAAAATACTGAACATTTGCGGCCCAAGAAAAGTAAAAAAGATCTACCAAACACTGTATAGACGATGTATGATGAACATTTTGATAAATAACGATGTTTTTATTGGGACCGATTGCAGTCCCCGACCAAACCAAAACAAACCATATCGGATTTAAGCAGAGTAGTCCAGACTTAAACCGATCAGATCAGACCGGGCTTCGATCGTTATAAAATACACATAGGCCATGCATGAGAATTTATCAAACCAGACCAGACTTAAATAGAGCCGATCATACCGGATCAAAACTAACAAGGTCAGAAAATTACAATTCAAGTAAAAATTCCCTAATAGCCTAAAAAATAATCTCTATTTTACGGGAATAATGCAAAAGCCATTATCAATCAAAATCTTAATATATACTACGAGCATGTTTAGCCGGAATAAGTTATACCTTCTAGCCTTTTCTACTATTTAAAAAGATCTAAAACTTTTGTACTCGTATATTTGGCAGGATAATTTTTAAGAGTTTTTATCTAAACAAAAGTTTTATTTTGAAAAGCTACACTGAATAACATTTGAGAAAAGTCTGTAACTTTTAACATTAATTAATCATAACAACTTGTATAAGAAATATAACTAAATCAAACAATCAACTTTTTATCAAATACTTAACCATTCTTTCTTTTAAAATCTTTTTAATCATTAAAAGCTAACAATTATTAAGTTTTAAAAATATCATTTCATGTCAAATATATCTTACATATCTTAAAAATTTATAAGCACTGTATATGTTTGGAGATGAGAGTATGAGACCTGCAGCCTAATTCCAATGGAATTTTCTATTTATTGGAAAGAGGTAAAAGATTTTTTATTAATAACCAAAATAAATGTTAAATTTGAATTGAACTCACTAAAGAGTCACCAAGGAAACGTATTTGGGGAGTTCTGTTTAACTTAACGGAGATCAATTAATACAAACGGAAGAAGAGGGTTAGAATAGCCAAACAATTGAAACGTACAAGTTATGATGCATACTAAACAACCTTTTATTGCTTCTTATTACACCAACATTTTTTCCATCCCTTATGCACCCTTACCATCATTGGTGTTTATAATTTTTTAAGATTTAAGACACACAATGCGAGATAACTCATGCCTAATACGGAGTATAAAACAAGAATTAATTTCATTTTTTGTCCTACAAGTATGATGTCAATTTCACATTAAGTTCACGTATTTTAAATTATCCACTTTTAGTGATTAATATTTCTTGATCATTTGTGGTACTTTTTCGACGATTTTAATCACCGAAAACATTGACGGAAGGATCATATATGGGCGAAAAACAATAGTCATGTACCAAAAGTGGTAAAATCAAAGATGTGGAGCAATGGTGGAATTAGTGCAATATTCGTAGGATCAAAATGAAATTTATTCTTGAAAAGAAAACTACAAATGTTAGAAAACTCAAGAAATCTTATAGTAATTTGATGTCTATTAGCAAGAACTTGTAAAAGGGAAAATGCACAATACAGTTGACGCACTTCGAGCTAGGGAAGGATTGCGACGGGTCGGGCCTAGGCCCGGAACGGGCAGGCTTCGGAATCAAGGAATTCAGGCTCGGTACCGGCCCGGGAATGCTCCGGCTTCGAGTGACGGTTGGTGTTGTGCAGTAGAATCGTCTAACAAGAATGGACATCCATCTCATAAATGGTAGGAAGTGGACTTGGCTTGTTTCGTCACGCTTATGAATGTTCTGTTTGAATTCATCCCAGATGAGTGTCACATATCATAGTTTTTGGAGAAGACGATGTCGTGCAAGAGTGTGTGACGTGCACTTTGTCACGGTGCGTCAAAATAAATTCAATACTAGCACTAATACGTAGTATGACGTAGTAGAGTTCGTATCCACAGGGAAAGGAATAATTCTCTTTTTATAGAACTAGTAAATAAAGGGGGGGTTTTGATTGAGTGATTTAATTAAAATAAAACACGAAGATGAACGAGTTAAATGTGATTTGATTCAAAGATAAAAAGGACTTGGCATTGCTACTTTCCACTTGTTGATATATTTTAGTCGATCATTGTTATATCTATAACTTATCCCCTCTCAAATATTCAATCGAGGAGTATATCCAATTCATCGAGAGTAGTTATTAACAACGACCGTTCATTAATAACCCTTACTATTAGTCAAGTATAGAACACCGCCATATACCGACTTAATAGTAGCATTTAATCTCTTAACTCCTTGATGAAATCAATTGAGATTGATAACCTCAACACAACGGGTTCGGTTTAACCAACAAAATTAATCCCTCTTAAGTTTATTAACCACGACGTGCATTAATAAACCGAAGTTACTTACTTGTGAAACCATCAACGATTAACCATCGGTTCATTGATCGTTTCTAGTAGTAATTAATGTCGAGATGTTAATGAATTGTCATCTTAGCAACACTCCCCAACATTAATATAGAGATAGATTAAGGGAAGAATTAATATTCAAGGAAGAAGATTAAATATGAATAATCCTACTATAACTAATGTCAAGATGTTATCTAATTGTCATCTTAGCAACACTCCCCAACATTAATATATAGAGGAAGAAAATAAATACTACTATAACTAATGTCGAGATGTTAACTAATTGTCATCTTAGCAACACTCCCCAACATTAATATATAGATAGATTAAGAGAATAATTAATATTCAAGGGAAGAAGTTAAGAAAATAACTCACAACTTTAATAATCAACAAGCTTCAAGAGCAACACCAAGAAATGGAAGTTTAGCTCCTCATTTGGAGACTAAACATGCTATAAAAATATAAAAGAAATACTATTCTAAACAGAGCTTAAGAGTATGGAAGAAGGAGTTTTGAAAAGTGAAGGAAAATGGGGCTATTTATAGGTGTTTTCAACACCCTGGGGCATTTACCCGACCGGGTAATTGTTGGTTCTATCTTTCCAAATTCAACGTGTTGACCGTGTTGTTCCACAATTGACATCGTTGACCATCTAGCTCCGCCAATTGATCTGCAAAATAATCACTAAAAAGAACTAAAAGTATATTAGTGGCTCGAGACGCGTCAGACGCTGTCCTAAGGAATTATTTCCGGCGTACGGAAATTTCCCCCAAGATATAACGAGCCCTTCGGTAATAAAACCGGTACCAGAACTAACGAGAAGAAAATAGTATATGAACCCAGTAATAAAAGTGTATTGTTCTTGTCGTATACACACTTCACCATATACACTCGGCTCTCAAGAGCAAAATTTGATTTTGTTGTTGTATTACAAGTCTCTACTATATTTCATTCTTATTCAAAAAAAAATACCTGCAAGTATATTGATGCATACGTATATATATACAACTCATATTCAAGCCAATACTACACTTATACGTTACTCTTGTTAAAAAGTTAATGAACATTAAGTCCTAAAGATATTATTAGTGACGTTAGCATAAATAAAACCTTTACGTTAACATATATTAATAGCACTTCAAAATTAAGATGACCATCCGTTAGAGTATGTTACCAGGTATAATCCACATTAAAATTTGATTGATCCGTTAGAAAAAAAATCTTTTAAGACATGATAAGTTTTCTCACAAAAAGAAATAATATTATATTGATTTGAAATACCCAAAATTTCCAACAATCCCCCACATATTTCAAATGAATATTCTATTTATTAAAAATAATAATTCCTTACTGGGTTTCATATATGGGGTGAGGTTTTTCAATCTGGTGTCGCGTAGACTTGAACCAGACCTAGACGCCTAAGTCTTTAAATACCGAGTTTATTGGTGAAACGTATAGTTTCTATGAACCAATAATCTACTTTGGTAAGTTAGTGTCTTAGGGGATCATTTTTCACCCCCACCTTTCTCGTCGTTAACGCCGTTGTGCGCCTCTAGGCCGTGCGCGTGCTTGGTTTTCTTGAGTGCTCTAGAAGCGTTGTCAATGCTTCATGGAGGCGGCCCCACCTCTCACTCATATAGGTGACCTCATCGAGTGTGTCCCGCACTTAACACACCACCCGTAAGGGCTATGACAATCATTAAGAGTTTTAGCTCAGCCTCACAAAGAATTGCAGTCTAGCCTTCCACACCATAGAAATGGACATTTTACAAGGCTAGCAGAACAAATAGAAGACTTGTTATTACCCATTTGAACTTGCTTCATGGGATCTCCAATCACACAAGTTGGGTTCCCATCCTTATTTGTTGTCAAAGTGACATTAGTCCATTTCCCTCGATGTTTAAATTTATCATTAACGTCCTAAGGATTCTATCAAAAGGAGTAGCTAATTCCTTTTAACTTCACAAAATTAATGGAATAATTCCATTCTCAAACATCATTGCACCACTTTTAAAGGTGAATGGATATCCACTATTTTAT